TAATATTTTATTAATATAAAAGTCATCAAATAACACAGTACAGTTGAAATGATAATCAAGTACTTTACATGTGCCTTTACAAAATATTTTAAAATTTGTACTTTACAAAATAATTGTACTTCAAAGCATAAAAGAAAATTTTTACAACGTAATGATTTAAAATGTACTTTAAAGTAAAACTTATAATTTGATATTATTACAAGTGCGCTTTTTACAAGTCTACTTAAGTGTGTTAAGAAACAGTCATGAGTGTACTCTCAGTGAGTACACTTGTGTCTGCAAATACAGTTTTTAAAAATATATTTTTAAAGATTAAGTACACTGCAAGTGCACATTCAATACATTTAAGCATGCTTCGTAATGTAATCAAACCTATATACGTTTTCCATCTTTCTATTTAATTCTTTATTTGATTGTATTTCTTGCTGTTTTTGTTTGTCAATAGACCAGAACAAGTTGGATGAATCTGAAGAGTGAGATGGATGGACAGTCTCCAGATCTGGACCCCAGGACCTCCACCCACAGCTTACCCACCGATATGTCTCAACCCAGTGAGTAACTTCCTTAAAGTCACGTCAGTTCACTCAGTGGCCATCATGCTAACATTTCAGAGCAGCTATTTTCTATGTAGGAAACGATGAAATCTGACAACAACTGTATCTGTAACGAAGAGCAAGATGTGCTTCCACGGCACTCTTTATTAAAAAATCTGATTCAGATCTTTCATCTCGCATTGCCAGTGTTTTCTTTGTTTGAGAATGGTCTGAAAGCTTCTCCTGTACACTAGGTGGCAGTATTTTGCAACGTTTTTTTTGTATCTGGACAATAAACTACCTTTTCCAATTCTTTATATGTAATCTGGTCTGACTTAGTGTCATGTTTCACCTTTACTTTCCACAAGTGTTCACAAAGGCATGTGAAATGGAGAGCTGGCTAGCTGGCAAGCTCCAGCCGCAAGGATTCAAGCCTCTGTCTGTGCTAGACTTTAACCTTTAACCTCAGGAAATGAAAGAAAAACTTTCACAGTTACAGCAGCCGCTCTGTTCAAACATGATATTGTTACTCTCATTTGATAGTAGCAAAAATAAATAATGAAGGCATGGTGAAATTTTTCCACAAAAATTTTAATGTGAATTCTTAAAACTAGATGCTGAAATCAGTTCCTTTGGGACATGAATGTGCCTGTAGTTGAAAAAACAGCCATCTACTGTTTTGATATTGCCATGCACTCTACTTGTTAATAAATGTGCTCTGTATATAATTGTAAATATGCCATGACTTGTCATGCATTGCTTCTTACCAGGCGGCTGATCTTGGCGAGGATGATGGCGATCATGACTCATCCTGGAGTGGAATGAGAGGTGAGTATTTAACTTACATAGACAACAGACATATTGCCTTTTTTACCATACAAAGATTATTGGTTCTAATTTGTCTTTCTCTTTCTTTTTTATAACCTCTTTCCTGTTTTCCAATGCTTCTCAGAGTACAAGGTGAGTTCTAGTGTGCGTTTCCTATTTTGTAGAACAGTAATTGTTCACTTTTAGGTGGTGAGCCCAAAATAGGTGGCTGGACTGTTCTGATCATGGAATAACAAAAAATGAAAAGGAAAACAACAAAATGCAACTATTCTAAAAAAAATTTTTTTAATATGACCCAGAAAGCATTAAAGGGATTGTTCAACCAAAAATGATAATTCTCTCATTAATTACTCACCCTCATGTCGTTTCAAACCCGTAAGATCTTCGTTCATCTTCAGAACACAAATTAAGATATTTTTGATGAAATCCAAGAGCTTTCTGACCCTCCATAGACAGTAACGCAGCTGACATGTTTAAGGTCCAGAAACGTAGTAAGGACATCGTTAAAATAGTCCATGTTGAAAAGCTGTTACAAAAATAACTTTATTCAACAATTTCTTCTCTTTCGTGTCAGTCTTCGACGCACTTTCTTGAGAGTATAAAAAGTATTCTCGTAGCTTCATAACATTACGGTTCAACCACTGATGTCACATGGACTATTTTAACAATGTCTTTACTAGCTTTCTGGGCCTTGAACGTCTCCGTTGCATTGCTGTCTATGCAGGGTCAGAAAGCTCTCGGATTTCATCAAAAATATCTTATCTTACAGGTTTGGAACGACATGAGGGTGAGTAATTAATGACGGAATTTTCACTTTTGGGTGAACTATCCCTTTAAATACAGGTTCACTTGCAGTGCTAGATTTTGCAATAGGGTCTGGCTGCAGACATGCACTTGCATTTTCAGACTTGCACTCTCACACACCTGCACTTCCGCGAGTGACGTCACTTGCAGTCTTTTTTTATTTTATTTAATTGATTAATTATTTTTTTAATTGAATCTCTCAACATTTTACACAAGTAGCCAGGTGGTGAAGACAAGAAAGAAATAAACTAAATCACAAAGTCACTTGCAATCGCCGCTTGCACTCTCAGCTACTTGCAATCCACACGAATCGTGCGTGTTGCCAATGGAGACAAGACGCTGTGGTGGTTAAATGATTCAAACTAATTTAGTACTATAACATACAGGACCCTGCAAGTCATCTGTAGGAGAAAAAGACAAGACCCGCAAATCCGTGGCGTATATCATAAAAAATATCTTATCTTACAGGTTTGGAACGACATGAGGGTGAGTAATTAATGACGGAATTTTCACTTTTGGGTGAACTATCCCTTTAAATACAGGTTCACTTGCAGTGCTAGATTTTGCAATAGGGTCTGGCTGCAGACATGCACTCTCACACACCTGCACTTCCGCGAGTGACGTCACTTGCAGTCTTTTTTTATTTTATTTAATTGATTAATTATTTTTTTAATTGAATCTCTCAACATTTTACACAAGTAGCCAGGTGGTGAAGACAAGAAAGAAATAAACTAAATCACAAAGTCACTTGCAATCGCCGCTTGCACTCTCAGCTACTTGCAATCCACACGAATCGTGCGTGTTGCCAATGGAGACAAGACGCTGTGGTGGTTAAATGATTCAAACTACTTTAGTACTATAACATACAGGGCCCTGCAAGTCATCTGTAGGAGAAAAAGACAAGACCCGCAAATCCGTGGCCACAGAACAGCAGAATATGAATGCAATGCGCAAAGTCTCTCTTTAAGGACTTTTAAACCTCCGTAGAAAACCATAAACACTTAATAGGCTATGGCTTAATGTATTAAGATAGTGCTATTAAAAGATAAAATTAAGATTATTAACATAATGTATGTATATAGTGTTTTCCTCCCATACCGCAAAAGGTGGCATAATGTGGCATAACGGTCTAAGATTATAAAGACCTCATATGCTCCTCTTCATTATTAAAACACAATTAATATGTACAGATAAGCAGGTGAGACCAGAATAGAGTTGGTCCATTTAATATCACTTAATTAATTTCTTAATGCGTGTTCATATGGTTTTTGTAGTTTGCATCAACAATAAGAAATACTGAATTTGGTCTTTATCATCTTAGTCCGTTATGGCACATTAAGCGTTTTGCTGTAGGTGTATCGGAGGAAAAGTACAAGTTTGCTCGTTGTGTTCATGAGCATATGCTTGCCTTGTAGTAGCCTAGTACATTAAATTAATAAACTATATATCGAATTTGATCTTTTAATAACACTATCTTAACACATTAAGCCATATTAAGTGTATGGTTTTCTACGGAGGTTTAAAAGTGCTTAATGAGAGACTTTGCGCATTGCATTCATTTTTCATTCATTTGTGGGTCTTGTCTTTTTCTCCTACAGATGACTTGCAGGATCCTGTATGTTATAGTACTAAATTAGTTTGAGTGCAAGTCTGAGAGTGCAAGTGCATGTCTGCAGCCAGACCCTTCTCAGATTTTGTGTGGTTAATTATCGGTTGCTTTCTATGGTTTCAGTAGACATTTAGAGGCAAAATTGTAAATTTTCCATTCAGCCTATTTATGCACCATTTTAATAATGTTGAATATTGTTGGGTCCATATAGTTCAATAACAAATTTGAATGCTTGAATGCATTTTTCTACAATAAATAATTATAATAGCACCTGTAAAACCGGGTCGCATGATCCTTATCTTTTAATATGCTGATTTGGTGCTCAAGAGTTGAAAAGAACAGCATTATTTTTTTAAATAAATATATTTTGTAACAAATATCTTAACACTATAAAATGTCTTATGAGGGCATTTTTGTAATTGTGTGTATTTCACATGCATGTATGTTGCAGGTCTATCCCTATGATATGCTAGCTGTGACCCACAGAGTCCGAGTAAAACTACCACGGGATGTGGACCGCACCAGACTGGAGGTAATATTTTATTAGACCTTCAAATAGACAACTTTTCTGTTTTGTCCGTCTCTTTCCTTCTGTGTATTCTTCCTTATGTGGCCTGTTTGCTGAATCATACTCTGTCATATGCTGTACATGATTTTACTCAGTGGTTTTGTTTATTTTTAATTGATTGCACTTTGGAGCATCCCAAGTTATGATGATTGAGTGTAGTTTTGTTTGTAATTATTGACTTTTAAATACAGTTGTGTCATCTTTTTAATATGGAGCATGGGTTGACTTATTTCTGTTTAATTATTATTTTGTCAGCATTAGTCTTGTTCAAAGTATGCAAGAAGGCAGCCAGGCGAAGAGTTGTGTATGTTTGTGTGTATGAGTGTTTATGAGGTTATGGCTTTGATGGACTACAGTCCACTTGCCCACGGCCAACACATAATATATCCTCAGTGTTCCTGGACATTGTGTCAGTGTTATTAGTGGGTTTAAATGGAAATGGGAAGAGAAATGTCTGGCTCCTTTTAACTTCAGCATGAGTTACGAGAGATGTTGATTTACTGATCCTACTCCCTATAACTGTTAGTTTGGAATCACTGTGGTTAAAATTGCACATCTGAAAATGTGTGTGTGTGTTTGTCATCATACGACTGTTGTCCTGATGTAAGAGGCCCTGGCCCCTTGAGCATGATTTGAGTCAGTCTCCCAGCGGGAGACACTTGCAACACCCAAAACTTTCCAAAGACGGTGATTTCAGCAGCTTTTTGCAGAAGTTCAAGATGCCCACACATCTGCAAGTGTTACAGTACCACATACGACAGGGCCTGAAAGAATAAAGATTTATACAGATCCATTCTGGAATGGTTTAAACCAAAATTGAGGTCATAGGCTTGAAAGCCTGGCAACTTTCACAGCCCCCCAGTGGTGCTCGTAATCCTGATTGTGCTAAAGGCAATGAATGTCCTCAACCATTGCAAAGCTTTAGGTGACATGCATATAGATGGTTGTAATTATTGTCAATATTGTATTATTTTTTTCACTCTGTCTTTAATCTGTAATGACATTTGCGCCATGCAGATATTGTTAGCAGAATAAACAGTGCTTCGAATCCTGGCAGAAGTCCTTTGGGTTTGTTCTGATTAAGCTTTGATTAGTTGTTTGACAGTGTTATTTCAGACCTTTATAGATGGATGACTATATCATGGAGCTATTCTGCATGCTTTAAAGTGATAGTTCACCCAAAAAATTGGTTCAAATTCATTTATACTTCCTCATGTCTTTTAAAACCCATATTGGAACACAAAAGGAGTTATCAGAATGTCCAAGCTGTTCTTTTACATGCAATTAAAATGGATTTTAATTACTTTTGAAAATGTTTTAATGAGTGATCATTTCAGTTTTGGTCTGTTCCTCACACAGAGCTTTCATATGGTTCCAAAAGACTTGGAATTAGGGTTTTAAGATTTGGGTAAAAATTTTAAATGTGATCAAAAAAAGCTTTTGGTTTGATGAATATGCTTGTTTGTAGGGCAGCACAATTTCACCAGAAATGTTGAGATTATATATCAATATGATTAGGAAATAATAATGATGATAATACTAGGCTTTTTTTATTTCTAAAGAAAACATCTACAACAAAATTTTTTTTTAACATTTTTAAAAATCAAGTTTTTAAAGGGGTTATATGATGCTGCTAAAAAGAACATTATTTGGTGTAATGAAATGTTTTTATGCGGTTTAAGGTTAAAAAAACACATTATTTTCCGCATACTGTACATTATTGTTTCTTCTCTATGCCCCACCTTTCTGAAACGCGTAGATTTTTACAAAGCTCATCGGTTTGAAAACGCAAGGTGTGCTCTGATTGGCCAGCTATCCAGTGCGTTGGGATTGGCCGAATTCCTCAAGCATGCGACGGATATGTTACGTCCCTTACCATACTGTGATGCCTGCGGCAACCACATGTGACGACCCCGGGCTGGACTCCGCTTCGTCCACGGTGAAAGCCGATCCGGCGATCGACAGCGCGAAGTTGAAGTATTTCCTCAGCGACCAGCACGGATCAGCTTTAGGCTCCAGGCATGACGAAGCGATATCGTCCTCTTTTGGAAGGGCAAACACAAGTAGTTTCGCTTTCACAACGAAGCACACAGCGCCTTCACGACATGGCGGCGGGGGCGGCAACAACATTACTACAGCGAGAATAAAAGTCATGCCTTCTTTCTTTGCGTTAACATTTGGGCGGCATTATGCAAATCTTCCCATATAGTGACGTAGACATGTGGAGGCGTGTTAGAACGAGCTGTTTTAGGTAGGCGTGTCTGACTCTTAACTTTTATAAAGAATATCTCTTTGAATTTGAGACTTTAGTCTTTGCAACTTTACAGATCTTCTTTATGCACCAAGAGCTTGTAACACTCCAAAGAGAAAGGAAAAATTTAAATCGCATCATATGACCCCTTTAAGAAAAATAATATAGTTTTATTTAACAGTACAACTGTACAATGATGATACTAATATTTCCAGGCAGCACATAAAATATTTGAAATAGACATATTTATTTAATTAAATCACAGCTTTTATAGTTTTATAACCACTCTAAACCATATGATTATTTTATGCCACTTTTTTGTCCTTGATAGCCTGTTAACCATACATCTTCATTGCAGTTAAGTGCAGTGTGAACATTTTCCAAAATATCTTCTATTGTGTTCCACTGAAGAAAGTCGTGCAGGCTTAGAATTACACAGATTTATTATTATTTTTAACTGAACTCCCTCTTAAATTTGCCAGATATCAAAATTGATTTGTAAAGTTTTAGAATTCAATTAATTACATTTATTGTAATTCTTATCATTTCAGAGGCACCTGTCACCTGAGGACTTCTACAACGTATTTGAGATGACCATTGAACAGTTTGACCGTTTGGCCTTGTGGAAGAAAAATGACCTTAAGAAGAAAGCCCGCTTGTTTTAAATCCCGCCGAATCGCTTGAAGGAAAGCAAAGATAAAGAGAAAACCTCTTCTCATCCATCCTGTGTGCATGGAGGATGAGTGTGAGAGAAATATATATGCACCTCCGTTCTGCTGCATAGCTACTGTCATCCCATCTCACGCTGAGGAAGAGGGAGCGCTTTCACAACGCTGTTTGCCACCTAGCTTTGTTCGTGAATGCCGCACCACATGGTCTGAATGTTACTCTGATGCCGGAGAGTCGGCACTAAATTCTCCATATTGTTTTTCTCTTTGATTGTCTTTGATCTTGCTCCCTCGCCTGTCTTTGTGATTACGGCATTGCATTCTCTCTTTGTGCAAAAAGCACTCAATATTGATATAAGCCACTTTCTGTACATTTTATACCGCTGAGAAACATGGCCAACAAGCTCTACTTGTACGTCTTTTTGCTATGTAATAATATCCATCTTCCCCTGTCCCCTTGTCTTTGTTTTTGACTTCATTGAATGTTGTCCGACATTTTAGTCTTATCCTCGTCTACTCATATTGTGTCTTTCTCTGGTCTCTTCCTGCCTGTTCTTCTTCTTACCTCCTAGACATGATACTCAGCCACTGCTTGGACTGTAATATCTATCATGTAATATCAGCTTTATGGAAGCTCATTCATCCATGGCTTTAGCATGACCAGGCCAAAGACTCAATCGGAGCGAGAAGTCAACAAAGCACCTTACACGTGACCTAACCAGACGGGACGCAATAAAACGATGAGAAAAAACCTAACCAGCCTCGATCGTGAGAAGCAAAGAGCAACAGGGCACAACACGACAGTATGCTGGGTAGCCCCACCCACTGTGAACTCTCATTGGTTCCTCAGAACTGTACAACTCATTGGGTGTGATTTTGTCACGTCACGCATCAGTTTTCGAACTTATTGTATTGCACCTGGTTAGGACACAGTGTTAGTTGATATGGTTAATAATCTTTACTGTTGCTGAATGACTGTGAGTGCAAACAGCTGGAACAATACATAGCTGTTGTGTTGTATTATGTATTTGTTTGCTTTTTCAGGTCAATGTGCAATTCATCAGATGTCATTATCTTGAGATCACAGTTATTCAATAAGACATTTAGAGTTGTTCTAAACTGATATCTGGACTTCACATACTCTCTCCATATATATTGTGCACAGTACTATGGTCATAAACTTTTATCAGCCAGACATTCTCATTGTTTTAATCCACACAAATGAAAGTGCTCAAGGCAGAGTAAACCCTTATTTTTGTATGCAATTTTTTTTCATACAGATGTTTGCCAGATACTTTATTTTCCATTTGCAAATAATTGCAACATTGACTTTAGCTTGGAGCCATGCCAAAGTTAACAGATTCTGTAGCAATTAGCAAAACTAATACAACACGACACTTAATAAGGCATGCAGTTCAGTGGCGCTTCATTTAAAACCCAAATATGATTGTTTTTCTTCTGCTTATTTTGATTGTTAATAAATGTGTGTGCAGTATATTAATATAAATGTCTGTTACACTTATGTCACCCTGTAGGCATGCACTGCATTTACTAGAAGCATCATGTAAGGACTTCATAATGGACTTTTAAGATTAATCATGACATGTTGTTTGATTTGAGATCTTAAGGTTATTGAGAGATTGTTTTGTTTTTTCAGACACATTCTTAAGTCGTACCATATGCGTTCTAGGTCCTTTCTCTTATGCCAGTGACTCAAATTTGCAAAAAAGAAGAAAGGTATTTTGTCCTTTTAATTATATTAATACGTTACATAAAGATAATAGAAATCTGGAGCTGTTAAAAAAACACCGCCACATTCAGTAAACTACGTTCTGAGTAATGATAACCATGTGTAACGTGCCTATATCTTGTACAATATCAAGGCATCTTTGGATTTTTTAAAACTGCTCAGCACGGAAGATTGTTTTACTTCGTTGATTGTGAAAGTATGGCGTTTTTAACTAACTGTATGTGTGTGCTTATCTAATTCTTCAGCGTCATAATGTGACATTTTTCATGCAGTAAATTTCAGCCTTCATTGGTCATTACCAAAATCTGTTGTTTTGGGGAAAATACAGTACAGTAAAGCTTGTCTGAAACACATAAACGTGCTTTGGTTTGAATGCGTAGGTGGGAGCCTTCCCAGAACCATGTTGAGCTGCGGAGGACGAATGTGTTATTCTTATTTGAACAGCTGTAGAAACATATTTGTGTGTGGGTGTGAGTGCTGTTAGCCTCCAGCTCAGCAGTCCAATAGTTCAGACTAGGTGACTTCAGATCAGTGTGTGTTCGATCATCTTTATTCTTCAGCCTAGCACTGTTCTAACCTTTAAAAAACAGACCCAAGTGGAGACTAAACAAGGAGGTCATATCTGCATCTACATTTTTGTGTTTTCTAAAAATATGGTTTGCTTTTGGAATTAATTTCAAAATGGGTTTTTCTTTGTGTGTGTGAAGTCTCTTTGTCTGGATGAAAGCAGATGTAGGACTGTGACCCAAGAGAACTCTGACCCAACAGTTTTGAGAGCTGCTTTCCTACTTTTGCTACTATTACAAATGAAGAGTGTTTGTGCCTGGGTCCGACTGCATTCACACAAATGTATTATTTTATACCTAGAAAGTTTGAGAGACATTCGTATGGAGTTGTCTTTGTGTTATGATGAGGTAATGCGACATAGGCTATTGGGTTTTCCATGGGTGCGTGTGGTTTTGTGCTAGTATGCAAACTTACTACTGCGTATAACTGTGATTGTAATGTTCTGACTGTGCAAAGTAATGAGTTTGGGAAATGTAAATGCACCCATTTCATTCACAGTGTCTTTGAGTTGCTTTGCAAGAAATATTGATATTCATCTCAATAAATACAGCTACTTCAACTCGTGTTTTTCTGTAGAGAGAAAAGTTGCTGAATCAGACAGACTGACCGATAGATAGATAGATTAGATGGATGGATGGATAGATAGCCTAGATATAGATAAAGTGTCTCCTATGTTTATTATAAACATTAAATAGACATTGAAACTTAATATCTTCCAACACTCCCTCGATCTACCCAGTTTTTTAATGTGATAGGTAGATGAATGGATTTATGGATAGCCATCTACACTCTAAAAAATGCTGGGTTAAATATAACCGAGCGCTGGGTTAAAAAAGGACAAACCCAGCTATTGGGTTGTTTTGACCCAGCGGTTGGGTTCAAAACAACCCAGCCGCTGGGGCAAAACAACCCAATAG